TGTCTCAATAAGTTTATTGCAAACCCTACGGCATCGCGCCAAATACCAACTTAATGAGTTTACCGTAACCAGATGTTGACATAAACATTCAAATTAATTGTAGAGAAAGGTAGAAATACAGACTGCACCTCTGTCTTACATACTTTATTTGTTAAATGATCCAAACATGTCGTCTATGGTTGTTTATCATATGTTTTTGTTTACAGCATTGTCAGTGGATGGTGGCTGGAGTGAGTGGAACTCCTGGAGTATCTGTACCAAGCCAGTTGGTGGTATACAAACAAGAAAGAGAGAATGCACCAATCCAGAACCAGGACGTTGTGGGAAACACTGCGATGGGACCGGAGCACTGTTGAGAGTATGTAGCAACATGTCCAGTTGCCAACAAGGTAACATACAAATTGCAGCCTTTCTGATTTCCGTGGATGAAAACTTCTTTGTTGAAAAAAAACTGAACAAATTCAGGAATAAAAGTTAGAATAACAACAAATGAATGGAACTACTGGGTTTGAACTTTAATCACATAATCATCTAGGCAAAGTATGTGAAATGCACAAATTATCAAAAGTCAGGAGTTCATGAATGGACAAACTCTTTACATGTATGGAATTCACCATTCTTTTCTTGAACGAAATGAAACAAATATCCACTATCATTAGTACTAAAATATAGGTACTAAAATATTGCCACGAGCTTTCGCTAATATTTGTGGTCGCTCTGTAAGAAGTCTGCACTATCTGCGCAATGGCGATTACGAATTTTGTTGGACTGCCCGTAAACAATAACTTTTTAGCTAATCCGGTAATGCTAACTATCATCCGATGACAAGAAAAATGCTCAAAAATGCGAGAGCCTCAGTTAGTAAATAACCTTTTGGCATTGACCTGCTGGCAAAGAAAATCATGCTAGCTAAACAGGAAATTCTTCCACCATAAACTGAAAAGAAATCTTTCAAAAATGTAAGGACTACTGTTACTAGGTAATTATATGGGGACATCATCAACACAAGAATTTACCTATGCCGAAGTAGTTCACGCTGTTTATTGTTATTCTCATTTATAATTTTTTTTTTGAATATTTGAAGAATTTCCCCTGCGTTTTGAAACAGAGAAGAACCCATCTTTTGGTACAATGAAGATATTCTCAAACAGCAGCTGGCAAAAGCTTTGTACCAGTCAATGGGATGAAGCAGATGAAAATTCAACCTGCATGGCCATGGGCTACTATAACAACGGTGCTAATGACACATGGTACGCAGAACGTGGCAATGCTACAGAGATGTCCACCCACTACAACTGCACCATTCCCACCAGATGTCAAAACAAACAACAATTTTGCAAAGGTAATATTCAATTGCACTCATGTAATATCCACACGATCTCCAAAGATGATAACTTGATAGATTTACTAACACTCCAGATATGAAAACTTTTACGAGATCAATGATCGCTCATCTTCGGGTATCTTTTAGGTTCTAAAAAGGTTTCTATTGTTAAAAATCTAGCGGGTTTCTACTGTTTACACCCTAAGACGATTACAGTTGAATTACTGCCGAAAGAAGAAACTAGCTGCGCAGTTATGCATTTGGGTTTCATGGACTTCATAACCTTACTCCAAACCCTTTACTAAGTTTCCTTAAAACTATTGCATCCTTCTAGTTTCCTTGTTTTTCTCTCTTTCGTGAAGGTAGGGAATTTCACAATTTTTTACTCTACTTATACCTAACTAAACGCCTTTTTCTTGATTATTCTGTGAGAAATGCTTTCTAGTTTAAAATGTTAATCACCCTTTTGTGTTCCCCGAAGGCAAAGAAAAAACGTCTTGAATGTTCCAAAATTATTGAAAAAAAAACATCTAGTTTTACAATTTAAAACGCAGTCACGAAGCAATGTAAAAGAGGTTTGTCGTAAAACATTGCAGCAAGGAAACCACACCGTGACAACGAACGATGCGGCCAACGTTCGAATACTGAATAATTTGCAC